GCATCTGGAAATTCCAGTTACCAAAATTGAATTGTCGCTCTTTGACTATAATTTCCATTCCTTTGGTGGTAGGTAGTCTGGGGCTGCATTTAATTAACAGCTCATACCTTCCTTTCAAATTCCTCCTTCACCAATCTTCATTTGCCTAACAAGCTGAGGAGCTTCTTGGATTTTTCTTGAAATCCAAGAAGTGAGTTTAGATGTCTGCGAATTCTCTGTCATAGTCTGGTGGTGAGCTGGTCACCATTTCCTTTCCTTTCACCCATTTCCTCAGAGTTACTTTTAAGGATAATAAAAAAGCCCACATTAGAGCTTCTCAAACTTTAGTGTGCGTATAAATCACTTAGAGTCTTTATGAAATTGCTGATTCTGATTCAAGAGATCTGGAATTTCAGAAGTGCCTGAGATTCTGCATTTCTAACAAGCTTCCAGGTGATTTTTATCCTGCTGGTATATAGATCAAGAGTTTAAGTATAACTTTATCCCAAGTTATACATGAAGTCCTGTAGGGATTCAGTTCTCTAAACATTTACTGAGCCTTTCAGCAAATCTAGTTATTTTTTCTCTCTGAATCCTCAGGTGGAAGTTTCTGACCATTTTTTCTTTCAGCAGCACTAAACACTGTAGATTTACGCAGCCTTCTCTTAGCTCCATTTTTCTCAATTAGTTTATCTTATGTTGATATTTTTCATCCACTTAGAATTTCACTCCTTGTATATGTAATTGTTGCTGTAACAAGCAATATATATACATGAACAAAAATGTGTAGTCAGATGCAGGGACTCTCTTGAGGCTGTTTGGCCTTTAGATTTTAAGTTCCCTTGGTTGATTTCACCATCAGATTCACGGCTTTGTCAAACTCAGTAATATGTACCACTTATCAGAGTCCCAGGTGTCTGCTATTGGCACTTCCTGGTTAACTTTGAGCTGCATGAAAATTACTCTTAATCTTTTCTGTTATCTGCTTCATTGTTAAATAGGTACACAGAGGCAAGCTAGGATTTCTTTGGCTATTTCATGTGATGAAAGAATGAACAAATGCAGAAAACATGCTTCACATCTCTCTAAGACCATGTGAGAGGTCAAAATTTAGGATATACATTTTTTTTTGGAATTGAAGGAAGTGATCTAACGTTTAGCAAACATTAAGTCTTTTGATTAGAAGCACGAACTATAGCATTGGCCATGGTTTCCTGACTCTTCCTCCTTTCCTAGTTGTCTATTCATAATTTCCTTCTCATAAGCACTTTATTAGATTACCTAAAATTAATAAATCAAGCAATTAAAGATAGTTTACTATATTATTAGATTGTTTATTTGAGATCTTTCATTTTTTCTTCCTGTAGACATTTATTGCTATAAATTTTCCCCTTAGACATGTTTGCTGCATACCACATTTTGGTATGTTGTGTTTCGATTTTCATTTGTTTTAAGGTATTTTTTTATTTTCCTTTTGATTTTTTCTTTGACCCATGAATTGTTCAGAATTGTGTTGCTTAGTTTACACATATTTATGAATTTTCCAGTTTTTCTTCTGTTATTGATTTCTAGTTTCATATCATTATGGTCAGAAAAGATACTTGGTATAATTTTAATTTTTGTAAATTTGCTAAGACTTGTTTTATGACCTAACACATGGTCTATATTGGAGAATGTTTCATGTATATTTGAGAAGAATGTGTATTCTGTTGTTATTGAATGGAATGTCCTGTATATGTCTGTTAGTTTCATGTGATTAAAAATATAGTTTAAGTCCAGTATTTCTTAACTGATTTTCTGTCTAAATGATCTATCCATTGTTGAAGGTAGGATGTTGATCTCTGTTACTGTTATTGTATTGTTGTCTATTTCTCCCTTTAGATCTGTTTTTATTTGCCCAAATATATTATATTTGGGTGCTGTGATGATGTTGGATACCTAAATATTTGCAGTTATAATTCCTTTGTTCCTTTCTTCCTCTCTTGTTTTCTTTCTTTGTGAACTAATGATTTTTTTTTGTAATGGTATGCTTTAATTTCCAACTCTTTGTCTTTTTAGTATCTACTGTCGATTTTTACTTTGTGCTTACCATGAGGCTTGCATAAAACATTGATAACACAGTCTATTTTAAACAAATAACAACTTAACTTTGCTTGCATGAAAAAATTCTACCCTTTAACCACCTCCCCCTACTTTTTATATTTTTGATGTCATAATTTACATCTTTATATATTGTATATACATTAATAATGTATTGTAGCTATGTTCATTTTTAATAATTTTGTCCTTTCACCTTTATACTGTAGTTAAGTGGTTCAGTGTTCTGAATTTGACCATACACTTACATTTACCAGTGTGTTTTATAGTTTCATATGTTTTCATTTTGATAGTGTCCATTAATTTCAGCTCGAAGAACTTTCGGCATTTCTTGTTATACAGGTCTAGTGGTGATGAACTTTCTCCTTTCTTTTCACCTGAGAAAGTCCTTATCTCTTCCTCATTTCTGGGGGACAACTTTGTTGGGTAAAATATTCTTGGTTGGCAGATTTTTTTTTTCCTTTAGCTCTTTGAATATATCCTTTAGCTCTTTGAATATATTCTCTCCTGGCCTGTGAGATTTCTATTGAGAAATCCACTGATAGACTTATGGCAATACCTTGTATGTGAGAAATTTGCTGCTTTTAAAATTCTCTCTTGTCTTTGATTTTAGACAGTTTTATTATAGCATATCTTGAAGAAGATCTCTTTGGATTGAATCTGTTTGGAGACCTGTGAACTTCATGTACTTGGATATCTAGATCTCCAGATTTTTCTATTCAAACTTCTAAGATTCTGACTTAGGTGGTCTGCAGATGGCAATGGTCAGTTTTCTTTGCTGACTCCTCTTCATCTCTCTGACTTCTAATAATCAGAGTGTCCCCATGCTAAGATATCTTTTCTAGCTAAGCTCTAGGTTATTTATCTAGACTCAGAGCTTTAAACACTATGCATACACCGATTATTTCTGTATTTTTATCTCCATCCTGTTCCTTTCCCCTGAACTCCAAACTAATATATCAACCATAAATGAGATAGCATATATTACCCTCTTAATATGGTTAAGTCTAGAGACTTAATATTGATGTTGATGTTCATAATCCTGGCCAATATTAACCTCTTATATCTTTTACTCTTCATTATACTTATTCCCCACTTTGCAGGTTTTTGAAAATCAATGAAAGGTACTAACCCAAGCTTTGATAACTGAACTCCTTCCTGTCCCAGGTTCTTGTACCCTAGATTAATGGAAATCATAGATTCATCCCAAGTCTCAAGGAAAGAGGATGACTGGCCACAAATTCATACTTTGAAGGATCTTAAAAATATGTCTAGATGATATTCAGAATCCAAATTCTATCACCTCCACCTTTATCTTTCCCTTGGATTATTGTTGTTAGCTTGCTTGGTTTTGCCATTGTGCCCTCTACATTTGAATCTCCACTCAAGAGACAAGAGTGATCCTTTTAAAAAAGCAAGTCAAATCATGTCACTCTGGCTTCACTAGCTCTCCATCCAACTCAGAGTAAATGTCAGAGTTCTTAAAAAGGCCCACAAGGGTCTATGAAATCTTATCTCTCTCACATCTGTGAACTCATCTCTTATTCTTACTATTTATTTTCTATGCTCACACTACTATAGTGGACTTTTTGCTGGTCCTGGATCATGTCATCACAAGTAGTCCAGCCCCAAGACCTTTGCACTTACTATTTCTTCTGAATGGAATGCTCTTTCCTAAAATATTTGTAGCACTCATATCTTTGCCAAAAAGGTCATCCTTACGAAAAGGTCTTCCTTGGACCCCTTTATATAAATTTCAGTGTTCCCACTCTAAGAAGACATATGACATTTCCCTACTTTATTATTTTTTCTGTAACTCCATGTGATCACTGGACAAACTATATATTTTTCTTATATATTTGTCACCCCAGATTAGAATATAAGCTCTATGAGGACAAGAATTTTTACTTGTTTTGTTCTCTGCTCTATCCTCAGTGCCTGGCACATAGTGAGTAATAATAAATGTTTATTAAAGGAGTTGATGAATGAAAAAAATGAATAAATGATATAAAAAAGGGATAGATTATGAGGCCTGGGTGTTCATGTGAGAGGAAGAATTGGAAGGAAGAAGGGACAAATCCAATATCTGCTTCTCTGTCCTCAAGCTTTGCTCAATTTCTGTCACCTGGCCCACTGCTAGCTGACACTGTAACAAAGCAATGTACTAAAATGAATCAGATTCTGGAATGATGGAAAGCCTCCACATATCAGGGTGACCTTGAAATGGGAATCAGTGATCCCTTGTTACATATTCCCCTCAAATGGTAAATTCAAATCCAGAGACCCTCTCTGGTATTATCCCCAGCTCTTAAGGAATAGATGTAAAAAATAGTGGGTTTCCAGAAATATCTCACTGGTAGAGCAGAGTTGACTTCTTTGTTTCCTGTCTTTCTGGATTATGCTTTTGCTGGCTTGAAGGAGGCAACTGACTGTATAGGTTTAAAATGTTCCTTTAAGAGTCCACTGAATGTCAGAGAGTAAAGAAAGGATTAATTAAGCAAAGTAAAACTTGGAAGGTGACTTGACTGCAGTTACTCATCATCTTTAACCTTGGTGTTTTCATTATGCTCAGGAAGTATGCTCTCTGCGTCACTTTGTCTTATGATGGCTCACTCCTTGTGCCGTTTTCCTTAACCCCAAAGGATATGGGTCGTTGGCTCATATCAGCATTGTTGGACTGCTTCCTTTCTTTGAAGAGTGGGCTGGAAAAGTTCTCTCCTCTCAGAGGTGCCTCTGGGGGGTGAGGAAGATGAATCAGATTGCAAGCAAAAAACCAGAAAGAGAGAGCTCGGGTGGAGTTAGAGAAGAGTCACTTCCTAATTTAACTTGACTTTCTCTTACCCTAAAAGGAAGTCTCTTGTGGTTTTTAGAAGGAGTAATGACTGAATCTCCTCCAGAATTTTAGGACCCACTGGGCAGTCTTACCCACTGTGGACCCAATCTCTGCTGGAAACGCCCTTACTGGCTCAGCTCCCACTGGATGGACTGTGGGATTACTACTTCTTCCTGTTGACTGTCCAGCCAAAGGAGTGGTGGCATCTTCCTGGTTTTGCTCATCTTGGGTAAGTCTCACCACTCTTTATTTGGATTCTCAGCTTTTCCCTCATCTATGTAACCAAGTCACTGTTCCAATTCTATTTTGTTTCAAATATACAGAATGGCTTTGGTTTTCTTGACCATACCCTCACTGATCTGCTCTGCTCAAACAATTTTTAAGTTTTATAAAGATAGGATCATTTGTCACATTTTTTTGAGATATTTTTCAATGTATAAAGCTGAAAATATTGACTTTGATCTGTATAGACATATATACCTATCCAGTCATGTCTTTCTTTAATATATATATATTTTAAATTTATTTATTTTAATTAGTTTCAAGTATACAGTACATTGGTTAGATATCTATATAGTTCATAAAATGATCTCCCCAATTGCTCCTTCTTTCCTCTGACCCCCACCTAGCCAACATATTAATGCTAACTGCATTCCCTATGCTATGCTCCCCATCCCTATGACCATCCATTAGCTACTAATTTGTACTTCTTTAACCCTTCACCCCATTATCCCAGCCCCCCAACCCTCTTCCCCTCTGTCCATCACCAAATTGTCCACTATATTTGTGAGTCTGTTTTTGATTAGTTTGTTCTTTTTATTCCTTAGATTCCACATCTAAGTGAAATCATGTAGTATTTATCTTTCTCTGTCTGACTTAAATACCTTCTAGGTCCATCAAAGCAATATCTTTTTCCATCCCCTTCCTTTTAGTCTGTGTGTGTCTTTTAATCTGAAGTGAGTCGATTGTAGGCAGCATATATAGGGGTCTTGTTCTTCTGTCCATTCATCCACACTATCTTTTAGTTGGAGCACTTAATTCTTTTCCATTTGAGGTACTTATTGATAGGAATGTAGTTGTTACCATTCTTTAGTCCTGTTTTTGATACATGTCTTTTCTTCTTAAAGAGGTTCCTCCAACATTTCCTATAATACTGGCTTGGTGATGATAAATTCCTTTAGCTTATTTTTTGTCTGAGGAGCTCTTTATCTGTCTTTCAACTCTAAATAATAGCTTTGCTGGATAAAGTATTCTTGGTTGTAGATCCTGGGTCTTCATCATGCAAATATTTTGTGCCACGCCCTTCTGTCCTGCATAGTTTCTTTTGAGAAATCAACTGCTCCCTGGTAGGTAACTATCTGATTTTTTCTTGCTGCTTTTAAGATTCTTTCTTTGTATTTAACCTTTGGCGTTTTAATTATGATGTGTCTTGGTGTGGGCCTCTTTGGAGCCCTGGTTTTTGGGATTCTTTGAGCTTCTTGGGGTTTTACGTCCATTTCCACCACCAGGTTAGGGAAGTTTTCCATCGTTATTTCTTCAAACAGCTGTTCAACATCTTGTATTTCTTCAAGTATGCCTATTGGATGAATATTTGGACCCTTAATAGTATCCCATATGCTCCTTAAATTATTTTTATAGTCTTGGCATCTTTTTTCTTGCCATTCTGATTGAGTATCCTTGGCTTTCCTGTCCTCTAGATAGGTCATTTGATCCTTTTCTTTATTCACTTTGTTTATTCCTTTGTTTATTCCATTTAATATACTTCTCATCTCAGATAATGTGTTCTTCATTTCAGACTGGTTCTCTTTTATAATTTCCATTTCCATTTTTATGTTTTTTATCTCTTTGTTGAAGTTCTCACTGAATTTATTTACATTTCCCAAAAGTTCATTGAGCATCTTTATAACCAGTGTTTTGAACTCTGTATATCTGTTAGATTACTTGACTCCATTATATCTGGATGTTCTCTCATATGGTTTCTGCTTCTTTGTCTTCCCATTTTGGCGGCTTTTTTGTGTCTGTTTCTATGTACTAAGCAAAGCTCCTAAGTCTCCTGGTCTTATTAGTGTGGATTTGTGAAGTAACTGTCCAGTGGCACAGTCCTGAGAGGGGTTCAGCTGTAGGCCAAACTTAGTCCAAGCCTCTACCCCTCTGGGGCCACCTGTTAAGATTCAGCAAATCCACAGGCTTTGCTGTCTCAAAGGTGGCTCCTCAAAAAGCCACACCAGAACTGAGGCCGACTGCCTCCAGTGTGAATCTAGGCACTGCTCAGCAAAGAGCACCTGACTCGCTGAAGAATACCTGGATGTGGTTGGGTGGGGCCACGAATTGTGGGAGGCAGGTTTTCAGGGAATCCTCTGGGCAGAGTGACCTCTGTTATCCTGTTTATGACATCTAGGCTATGGCAGTGCTGTGTCCGTGCACTGGGAGCGGGGAGGGCTCAAAAGGGAACAATAATATCACAGGCACTTTTGTATAGTGCGAGTCTCACCTCGGCCATCACTCCGACAACGTCTCCCTGTAAGTCCTTGGTGACCCTTGCGTGCAGCCGAATTGGCACTGGTGCTTAGAGCTAGCAGATCCATCACTGTGAAAATCTGCTCACGGATGTGGCCCCTTTAAGAGGCTTCTGCCACTTCCGCTGCTGCAGCCTCCTTTGCACTCAGCCGCTTGAGACCCGGCAGCCCCGCATCCTCGCCCCATCCTAACTTCTGCCATTGGAAGGTTATTTCTTGGATCTCTCCCTATTTGTATGGCTTGTTCATCTAGATCTCAGGCAATTTTTCCTTGCTGCTTGCTCTTTGTTTTCGTTACAACTTTGATTTAGTCACCGGAGGGATGAACAGAGCCTCTATCATCTATGCCATATTTTTTCCTCTCCCTGTTTAATATTTTTATACTACTCTGTGGGTTTTATGAACATAGGCATTGGGGCATTGATTTTCTATTGTCAACTGAAAACTCCTAGAGTATGTGTAAATATTTTTTTACTTAGTTACCTATTATGTCATCAAATGTCTGCCACCAACTAGAGGTATGTTTGGAATTTTCTTTAACTTCTATAGGCCTGTATTTGATGGGTCATTTAAAAACTTAAATTTAGCCTCAAAACTGTTTTTGTTTTTGTCAAGTAAAATTTGACCTGAACCTCAACATATAAAGTCACCTTCCTGACCTCCAGATGACCCCCCTTATCTCCTACAGCAGTCTTGAATTGCCACTGCCCAAATCTGGAGTATAAAATGACTAAATAAAGAGTGCTCTAATTCTGGTTTAACAGTTTTGACTTTATGCTTCTTGAAGGAATCCAGTGATACTGTTTTGTCAGAGTTTTATTTCTAAGTTTTAAAACTAAGATGTAAGAAGGAAAACATTTTTAATCCTAATTTTTTAACAGTAAGGCATATATATATTTACACTGTGTGTTCACCTCCCATAGTTAGATTTCTTTCTGTCACCACATATTTTACCTCGTCTACCTCCCCCCACCCCAATCCTAATTTTTATCTTAATTATTTTTCTTAATGAAAAGATTTTTTAGCTTGATTTTATTTATTGTTACTTACCTTACTGTGAAAAAGGAAAAATCCCATGTTTCTTTGGAATAGCTAAGGTTTTATTAGAAAAAAGTGCCAATAGAAAAGTATCTTATTAAAAGAAATAAAATTGGGCTTGCATGCCTAAGAAAATCAATGTTCAAATTTTCTAAATGCAGTATTGCACAGACATTGTCAGGGCCTGCCCACCTCTTTGGCCACAGCATTCTTTCTAATGCTAAGACAACATCATAGATAGCCTCACTCTGCTCTCCCTAGGACTCTGGGTCATCCTTGGTGGGATTTTCAGGGGCACTAGCTCAATATTCCTATTACTTAACTTCAAGACATTGGTCGAGGGGATCTGGAGCTGAGCCTTGATGGATTAATAGAAGCTCATCACTGGGGGATATCGGCCGGGGGCGAGGGGGGTGGTGTGGGCGGGATACAAGCAGAGGCATCAAGGCAGATTTGAGGAAGGTCAAATTAGGGGATGTGGCTGTAGCACCAAAGAGATGAAGGTGAAGTCTTTATATATGAGGCCAATAACTTTGGGTAATATTGTTTAGCATTTGGAGCTATGGAAGAGTTTGAAGTAAAGATTATCACAATTGGATTCCTATTTTAGGAAAATTCTTGGGAGGAGGTATTGGTTGAAAGGAAGTGAGACTGGAGGTAAGAAGGCCAGTAGAGAGGTTCTAATATAAGAGTTTAGGCAAGAAATCACAAGTGCTTGAACTAAGACAATATCAGTGGAGATGGGTTGGGGTGGGGGAAGATTTGAAAGTGTTTATAAAGCAGAGTACATAGGACTGATGATCAGTTGGAAAGAGAAATGGTGAAGAAGAGGGAGCTGCTGAGGATAACTCTCAGAAATCTGAAGAGTACGGAGGGTAATTCCTGGGTTTGTGCTTTGGGAATTGAGTAAGAATAGAGATACCATTCCCTAAGATAGAGATGCAAGAGGAGGTGCTGTTGGACATGTTATGTGAGAAGTATCTGGAGGATGCCAAATAGAGGTGTGCTATAGAGAGCCCGTAGTCTGAAAATCCAGCTCAAGAATGACTTCTTGGTTTGAGATTAATTTGGAAACCATAAATATATACAGGATGACTATAAATTCTGAAAACATAGATAATGATAATTTGTCATGTGTTATAATATAGTATCAATAAATCATTTCTTGTGTATTCACCTATGTTTCCAGACTTTAAAACCATCCTGTAGAAATTTGTTAGAGTCAGATATAATACAGATCAGCCAGATAGAATATATAAAGCAAGATAAGAATGGGAGTGGCCATGGAGTCCCAGGAATTACAATATTTATGGGCAAAGGAGGCTGAGAAGAAACAGGGGAGAGGTGAGATTTAAAGCACAGAGAAAGACTAAGAGGAGAGCAATACTTCTATTGAGGTGGAAGGAAAAGTGGTAAGTATGAATAAGAATGTACTGATGTCAGCTCAACTGGCCATCAAAACGCCTTTAAACCTTTTCCCCAACTGGCCAAAACATAGTACTTTCTCTAGAACAGTGGTTCTTAACTTTTGGAGGGTAACAAGTTCTTTGAGAATCAGATGGAAGCCATGTACCTTCTTTCACACATGAATAACGAGAATGGAATGAAATATAAGGGAATAACAGATCTTCTGAAGCCCAACACTCAAGAATCCTAGGTTAAGACTCATAGTATT